AACCTTTTCATTGTGCATCTATAGTTGTAACCTGATTATTGTAGTTGCGATGATATATGATTATCGTAATTTGGTGAATTAATCTTTTAACGAGACTATAATAATTCATCCGATTCAAACTTTCTATCCTGATGTTGTAGATAAAAACAACCACTAAAGCATTTTTTTAAAATTAAAAAAGGTCATAAATCCGGTTCATATTTTTTTATTGTTATATCGTAGATAAAAAAACAATCAACTTTTGCATATTCATGGCAGAACCTAATTTTTTTGTCAATAACATGCATTTTTACCACTAACTAAACTTTTTGGTTAAAAACAATTGAAATTGGGCTTATAAGATTGTTAATCATACGACATTTACTTAGAAATGAATATAACAATAATCAATGTCTTTGTTTCTTTGTCAACTATATCAAGTACTTTGACATACGAAATCGTACGAACATGCATCTTCCCTCCCCAATGGACTTACGCTTTTATCATTGCTTCATCATTTTAATTATTTTTTTGTTTCTTTAAATTTTCATGAACACAAAAGCTCTTTATCGGCATGGTACATTGGCACTCAACTATTGGGCAAGTAGAGAAAATCTAGATCATGTGTGTGTGCCCATATATACACACACCGTAATTGCTGTACACGTATCTCTATTTATACACAATTATGCTTTACAATTGTCAGTTGTAGAATCACTTTAGGTTTTTGTTCGTTTTTAATCTTTATTATTGTTTTCAAATATAATTTAATTTATCGGTGTATGATTTTGGTACCCCTTTGATTAAAAGTATAACAATGAGGCTATAGATCCGAATCAAGTAAATGTCGTACATATATTAATGATATATATATATACAATTCGAATCATTTCCATCAAAACAAAGTTGAAAGTTCATGTACATATCAACTATCAAGTAATTTATACATTGTTTTGTAACTTTTATGAAGAAGAAAACCTTTATCAAAAACATAAACGAAGAACTTAATTAAAAAAAAAAACATAAACGAAGAACTCAATATATAAGAGAAACATTTATTTGAAATGGTGAAAATAGAGGGTCCCATGGTTATGGATTAAATGTAGGAGAAAGATAAGATCTAAAAGAGATCAGAAATGGGATAAGGTTCTTGGACAAAGTGCAATTCCACTTATATACCATACATATGTAACTTTCGTTCGTAAAGTTAATCATCCGAAAATACGATTTTGAAAGATAAAAAAATTACATTTGAAAGGTAAAATGTTTACATAAATATAATAAACACATTAAAAAAACTACTCATGAACTATCATCAATAATTAAAGTGACTATATCATCCAACTAATCCGAACCGCCGATTTTCTATGCTGGATATATTTTTCACCATTGTGATGTGTAGTGGTAATTACCAAAATCAAAATACTCATATAAAATAATCAATAATTAAAACTAATTACTTTATCTAATCCGAACCGATTTCTAATGCTGGATTTCACCATTGTGATCAATGTGTCACTGGTGATTTCACCATACACCTATAGTATATTGTATACATCATGCCATCATGCGTAAGCATGCCTAATTGTGCTAAAAAGGCTGTCAACAT